TAAGTTCAGTTGATATTTGGGGGATTAGTTGAGTTATCTTTTTCATATCAGAGTTTAAAGGGCTGGCTATATTTTTTGTTGTGTATGGAGAACAAAATTTACTTGCACTGCATATCATGTAAGACTTAATGGCATTAATTCTTTATTCAGTCTGTTTCTTTTCACAAAGAAAGCCCAAATAATGCCTGTAATTAAGCTAAATGAATCAGTGTGAAAGCAGAAAATTTGTGTATGCAAACAGATGTGGGCACAACAAGCATAGTAGCTAGATATTAAACATTATAACACTGCAGTAGCTAGACTCAGACCTAAAGATTTCCCATCAAACAAATATTTTATGTGTGTACATGGGTGGAAGATGTTGAGATATATATGTGTATATATGTATGATGAAAGATTATGAAGGGGGTTACTACTGCCATAGGTTATTGGGATCTTTGGCACAATGATGTCATTGTTGTGGTGACTGTAAACAGTTATAGGGCATTTGTGCACCAGGTAGGTAAAATCAGGAGCTAATTCCTTCACTTCTGCCTAAAAGAGAGACAAGGTGGGAAAGTACAGCACTGAGCAGTTGTGTGCTCTCTAATTGTTCTTATTTAAAAGATGAATCTGTTTTGCATCACTGGTTACACTGACATGCTGCATACTGAACCAGCAGCAATATCATGTCTAATTACCATAAAGCTAATAGGAAAAGGAAGGTGAAATCTCATGATTAGTTTGAGAGTTCTGTCAAGGGACAGTGCAATCATGTTTAATTTGACTGCCGTATGGCATAGCTTTTCTTCACTGTTTAAAAATACCAGCTCTGCAAGTTTATTTCTGAGGTCTGATATGATAAATTTAGGCATTGTGGTTGGCAGGACCATATGTGTCTGAGAGCTGTGGTGCTTCAGATGTGCCTGGCCTCCTAAGCTACCTGACTGGCAAAAGATCCGCATGGGCTCTGAGCTGTTGTTCTGATTCAGCTAATGAAAGAAAGAGGCTTTTCATAAAATCTATTTGGTTTTGATTATTTTTTTCCTTCTGGGGAGGTTTCCTGGCCATGGTTTTCTTAGTTGCTTTTGTCATTATTGAAACTGACACTTATATAGCAAAGCTATGTTCAAAAAATCACTGTAGATTTAGCAAATTACAGGCTTTCAAGAAATTCTCTTTAACATTAAAAAACATGTCAATACTATCAGAAAACACTAATATTTTAGAACTAGCACAAACTACTTAGATGTATTTCTTAGAGCTATTAGAGTTATTGTGATAACAGTAAGCAGTAAATGAGGTTTTCAAACACCAAAGATGATAGAAATGCCTTTTATATGTACATACATCTGATTCCAACGGGATGAGGTT